GGGATCCAGGCAGAGGAGAGAGTAAGGAATGGGTTTTAGTTGAGCTGCACTAGGCAACTAGTGGATACCACACCGTGCCACCTTCACTACAGGCCAGGGATTTTGTGGGATTTTAAATGTGAAGAAGCTTTTAAGGGTTGCAAAGAAAAACTACTAAATGCAAATATTTTGACATTTTATGATCCAAAAAAGCCCATTGTGGTTAGTACTGACGCTTCCTCTTATGGTCTTGGTGGAGTTATTTCACATGTTATAGAGGGAATGGAAAAACCAATCTGGTTCACATCATTTTCGCTCAATCAGGCGCAAAAAAGTTATCCCATACTTCATCTGGAAGCGTTAGCAGTGGTATCAACGGTAAAAAAGTTTCACAAATTTTTATTTGGTCAAAATTTTACTATTTTTACAGACCACAAACCTTTATTAGGAATATTCGGAAAAGCAGGTCGAAATTCAATTTCAGTAACAAGAATTCAGCGTTAGCCATTTACGACTATAATATTGAATACAGACCAGCAAACAAGATGGCTAATGCTGATTTTTGTTCACGTTTCCCTTTGGAAATAGAAGTTCCCAGAAGCTTAGAGAAGCAATATGTCAAGAATTTGAATTTTTCTCAAGATTTACCTTTGGATTTTACTGATATTGCAAGAGAAACTGTAAATGATTTTTATTTGCAACAAATTATATTGTTTATGAAAAATGGTTGGCCAGAACGAGTTGATCAATGTTTTAAAAATATTTATTCGCAACATCAAGATATTGAAGACATTGATGGGTGTTTGCTATTTCAAGATAGAGTGATTATTCCTGTTTCTTTACAGAAGAAGGTTTTGCAAATCCTTCATGCAAACCACACCGGCATTGTAAAGATGAAACAACAAGCTAGAAGAAGTATTTATTAGTTTGGAATCAATGGTGACATAGAATCATTTGTCAAAAATTGTGAAGTATGTGTAAAAACATCTGTAGCGTCGAATCAAAAAGAAACATCGGAATGGATTGGCACAACACGGCCTTTTAGCAGAGTTCATGCTGATTTTTTTTTATTTTGAAAGGCGTACCTTCCTTTTAATAGTGGACAGCTTTTCAAAATGGTTAGAAATCATTTGGATGAAGTATGGTACCGATGCAGAGAAGGTAGTTAAAGAATTTATCGGTTTGTTTGCTCGCTTTGGACTTCCGGATGTAGTGGTAACAGACAATGGTCCTCCATTCAATTCGAAATATTTCATAAATTTTTTGGAACGACAAGGTATTCAGGTTTTTAAAAGTCCACCATACCACCCTCAAAGCAATGGCCAAGCGGAACGTTTGGTTAGAGTATCGAAGGATGTATTAAAAAAATTTCTTTTGGACCCAGCGATGAGAAATATGGACCTTCAGGATAAAATAAATTATTTTCTTTTCAACTACAGAAATACTTGCTTGTCTGAAGGGGGAAAGTATCCTTCCGAGAATATTTTGAGCTTTAAGCCAAAAACTGTTCTGGATTTGGTCAATCCTAAAAATAGCTACAAACGGCAGTTAGCCGAACCATTGGCATTGAAATATGAATATAATCAAGATGATACAAAGGATCCTTATGCTAATTTGAAGTTGGGTGATAAGGTTCATTACAAGAATCATAACCCTAAAGATATTGAAAAATGGCTTGAAGCAATTTTTATTAAAAGAATTTCTCAAAATGTATTACAGATCGCCGTGCGGTCAATCCTCGTCTCGGCCCACAAGGGGCAGGTGAAGATACGGAGTCAGACGGGACGAAGGCGTAATTTGACGCTCCAGTCGCAGAAGGATAATTACGTACATGGTAATTCAAACTCGGTACCAGGTTCGGTGGAGAGGAGTGAAACCCTTGGACGTGGAAAAAAGAGAAGATTCGAAGAATTGGAAAACAGCGATGATGAATTTTTAGGATTTACGCCTAGCCCATATCCACCTTTGCCTTCAAGTAGCGAACTGCATCCCAGAGTATTACAACCCGGTCCAGATTCAGTTGCACTACATTCGCCAATTTTAAGAAGATCAAATCGAAAGAAAACAAAGAAGATCGACAATGAGTATACTTATGCAAAATGAATTTACACCTTTACCTTTTAACATGAATAATATTTCTGAATTTCCGTTAAGATCGAATTTTTATTTTGAATTGAAATTTAGGTTTTATAAATGAATGTTTAACTAAAGGGGAAAGGTATTGTAACATTCTTGGTTACATTCGTTTCAGTGTCAGAAGCAAGTGAACATAGCCGGCGGCGGCGCCGATCGAATTATGAATATATTGTGGTGATAGTATATAGGTAAACAAAGAACAGATGATTATTGAATGTTGTTTATTGTTATGATCTGCTATAAATAGTTCCTGAAATAAAGACCACTGAGTTCAGTTGAACAGTCCTGTTTCAAGTTATTTAAACAAGTAGTGATCACAACACTAACTATGCTCACACGTTTCCATGTCACACCAAAAAAATACGTGTGGGTATGTCACAATAGAAGCACGACACAGTGGAAATCCCGAGCCAGTTGAAACACTTATCCCAGATCAGAATGAAGCATATATAAGAATAGTTGCAATGCCATGTACTCAAATGGTGTTTAGCATTGTTCCTTGAGTAATGAAAACAATGAAAGCTTGTCACGTAAATAGGAGGAGCACTGTTGGGCACCTTTTGAAATATTTTAATAGTTTAATTCCATGCAAACCAAAATAAATCTACACGCAGAAAAAAATATTTTGAACGTAATAATATTTGACGTAAATTTAATAAGAATTTCATTTTGTTTTGGCTGCAAAATGAAATCATTATTATTTCAACAATCCAGTATCTTTGTTTTTAAAAACCCATGGATTGTTAAATCAAAAAGAAAATCTTTTCGAATTTACAAGAGCTTTTATGGTTTTGACGTAAGCTGTCAAATTTGGCAGCTGGGTCAACAAAAAAATATGTTTGTTTTTAAAAGAGATTTCTTGTTGATTCAATCATATTTATTTTATTAAGCCTAAAAATATACGCAGTAGAAATAAAAATATGTTTATTGATTTAATTTTTAATAATTTGCGATTATTTTTATGTTTTGTTTTCTTTTTGTCACCAACAGAATAACAATTAAATTAAAAAAAAAACTTTCTGAGGCATAAAATCTCTCCGGTTCATGAATTGATGGGTCGATAGGTAGGGTCCAGGTGTGGGAGCGGCCTTCCTGGCGTTGGGAGCATTGGTACTCAGTACTGAAAATAAGATCGACGGAAAAATCAAGGAAAAGAAGAAAAACTGTTTATATTATGCAACAGCAGCATACTTACTTACCTCTAGAGCTGAATCAAACGAGAATTTTTTTGTTATTGTTTACATTTTGTCCGGGTTTTCACGAGGGAATGGTTGGTAGTTATTTTTGCATTCATGGCCCGGGGAATTGACACAACAAATAAATGTTAAATTAAAATTAACTATTGTTGGCTTGATAAAAGAATATTGTTATTTTTACAATAGTTGCAGTTGAAGAGTGGCTTATGAAAACAAAAAGAATCTTATTTTGAATTTATTTGAATAAATATTATCGAAACAATAAAATGTAATATAATTTCAACCGGAATTGTTTGTGTAAATACAAATAAAGTTTTTTTTGGTTCAATGCAAACAATTTTCTGTCCGTGTATCTGTGTAAAAATAAATAAAATAAGAGTGATTTGCGGAAAAACCCGCCAGTGCCTATACGTCAGCGTACTACGACGCGGCTCTCAAACAAAGTAGTAACAAGTGTGATACTATCACTTCCAGACTAGATTTTTGGTTCTCTCATGCAGTGGTTCATCGGATAGGGAAAGCTTAGTAATCCCCATCGCCTGCCTATGGCGCCATTCTATCGCGGCATGAGCCAGCAATGCCAGCCATAAACCTACCGTCTCCAACACTCCACTATAAAGCATGAAATTAAGCTGGTGGGCGGGCAACAAGGTGCAAAAACTAGCCAAGAAGAGGAAACTATAGTTGGTATAACCTATTGAATTAAAAAAGTTGAAAAGTACAAATATAACAATAGGTAGTTATTTTTGGATAACAAACAACAAAATCCATGCCACAGAATTATAAAAACGCCCGAAATCAGCGTCGAATGCAAATTCTGCGCAGGCTGTAACAACCCTGCAATTGATGACTGCTTATTTGACCCAGGTTAGGGACATGTACTACATAGTTAATAATCACGACAACGCGATGCGACACGACAAATTCAAAATAATCCTATTATTTTCCTTGCTTAGTTCGCGTAGCGTCACTCTGGCCGCACCATTAGGGAACATGCATAAATTTCCTAGCTGGACAGGCTGACAGCCTCTTTAATAAAGAAAACAAACTAACACCCCGAGCAAAGTCCAGCATCAAAATGACAGCAAATTGGAATCAAGTTTTGATATCAACATCAAACTGAAATCATAATTTGATTTCAGTTTACGCAATTGACAAATTTGATACCAAATTTTGTTTTCATTTGCTCTTCAAAAATATATTGTTGCGGGTTTGTTTTCATAGCCTTGGCATAACATCAAATGGAATACTTGTTTTGTTATCAACGGGAAAAATTGATATCAAATTAAGTTTTCAGTTTGCTCTCACTGATAGTAGATATAGTTTTCAATGTGATGTCACAGGAAGATTTGTTTGCTCTCAGTTTTGATATTTTAACCGTTAAAACGACCAAAACGACAGCAACCTGAGTAATCATTATCAGCGAAATCACAACATCAAATTTAGATTTTAATTTGATCTCAGACTGTGCTCGGGACTGGTGACGGGTCTTTAGCTCGATAAGCCAAAATTTAAATAGTCATTGCATAAGTTGTCAGTATTTTCTTCTTGGGTTATTGCGTCCCATCTGGTTAATGTCTGTTCACTTCCGCAGATGTTTATTAAGGTGCAAGAAAAACCATATTCAAAAATATAATAAAAAAAAGTTCTTTCTAGTCACCGAACGTTTAGTGTAGTGAAATGTCTTACCTGTTCCCTGGGTTGTATCTCTCGGAAGTACGTTATATCTTGCCCGTTGATTGTTATTTTGCCTGTTCCAGGTGCTACAATAGTTACATCTCCTCGCACTGACTTTCTTAGACATTCTAAGAGAAATATCAATAGTTATTTTCATTGAAAATGGCTTTTATCGCAAACATACCATAAACTGTGATGCTTTGTTTTCCATTTGTATCAAACTGTGGTTTTGGTATTTGGTCGGCATCCGTTTTCATCAGTAACGGTTTTCGGTAGCGATCAATGAACGTTTTCTCCCTGTACGAGTATGGATGCAGAATTAATCGCGTCAATACGCTTACAAAGTTATCATACTCAGTATCAGAAACATCTTCGAGCAAAACTTTTTCAAGGGCATCCTTTGACAGCCATTCTGAACCAGATGTATCACTGAAAAGAATAATTGGAATAGTTTAATTTGAGGTTATAGCATTTGAATAGCAGTAATCAACATTTCATAATTCACTATGTCTGACAATCTTTTAGGTTGCTCATTACTAATTTCGCTCATTCTATACATTCATTTTTAAGCACAGAAGGGGGTCATAGGGCCAGATCTCCAGTGAAAAATCACTGTCCATACAGCACAAGGGTAGAGGTAAAGATTTGGCACCACAGAATAATAATCACAGGGATCAAGTGAATCCTGCTTAAGATGCCGGATAGGGAAGATTAGTGTTTCAAGTAGGGGATAGTCGGAGTAACAGTAGTAATAGTTGAAGTAAAAGTTGGAAAGTAAACGTACAGAGGACCATGTTTTGCTATACCTTCTTAAACATGATCTTTTTGAAATGTTTGAGAATCAGTGTCAGTCAGTGCCATTGTCTTTGTCGATGTATTTACGTTTGTCAGTTGCCATTGTCATTATAGGTGTTGTCTCAACGTATATGTTCTTGTCAATGACAGTATTGAAAGTATCCTTGGAAGTATTTTTCACTGTGTGTGTTTATGTGTGTTTTCACCAAATGGTTATATTTCTTCCTCATGTCCTAGTTTTTACTGCGTTCAAGAATAATTAACTAAAAAACAAAAATGTAGCAAAAGTTCATACTATAACATGTCTAACTTACTATCTACTTTTTGTTGACTAATACCTAAATGTATTTTTTAATCTTTAAATTTGTGGAACCTCTTAACGGAATTCCTTTATGAAGCGTGTAATTTTCAATTTTATAACGATAAGTTGCTCAAAATAGCACAATAGCCAGTAATTCCGTGCCAGAATCCACCTCCAAAGTTGGGTTAAAAGCTAAATAGTTACCTAAAAATTCTACCTAAATCGTTCACAACCAGAGCCGGATCACTGATGAAAATCAAAATATCGAAATTTTCGAAGGCGAACACTCCGCAACCTATTCTTGCTAATCGAATCGCGAGCGCTAACTCTGATTGAACGCTCACGAATCATAAAATCGCTGCCTGTGACACTCTGAAAGCGAAATTAACAGGTTTTATGCGTCAAACACTCGCCATTTAATCTCCTCCCGTATCTAACAAGTACAAATCTCCACTGCAACATCCAAACCCCCGAAAATCACTCCTCTATAGCAAGTGAGTGGAAGCAACCCTGCACGCAACCTTTTTTCATGATACATTTTTTCTACCTATCTTTCTATTAGGCCTGTGGACATGCGTTAGCTTCGAAACTTCTAACCAAACTGGGAAATCTATCAGATCACAAGAAAAAACACAAAAACTTTAAACGTTTCAAATGTAATTACAAGTAAAATAAATATAGATTATTTTAACGTTAGCGTTAGCGTTGTTATGATATATTTCGTAGATTGGATACTAGCGACTACATAAAATAAATATTGATTATTTTACGCAAAAACGAACAAGTAATATTAAATCTCTTGTAATTGACTGTAACAAAAACAATATGCTAAAATAATTGTTTTTTAAATAAAATGATATGCAAAATTTACTAGAAGGTCATTACTTTATTGGTGAGAAGTTTCTAATAAGCCCTCCCAGTTCCTCTGTATACATAATAGACATGTTCATTTTAAACGAAATGTTCGGAATGTAACGGGTCAACCGTGATTACTGTTCGTCATGTTAATTTGAACTTCTGTGCAAATTTTCAGCAAAATCGGTGATGATTTAGAGGTGCTTCAAGTTAATTTTATGTTTTTAAGGTAATTTACGGCTTACAATATTTGTATCTCGAGACTGAAACAACGAAAACTGCTGTAACAACTTTCATAACTGCTGTAACAACTTTCATAACTGCTGTAACAACTTTGATAAAAAAAAACACGTCTACTGAGGATTCATATTTATGAAAAAATCATATATCAATGAAACAGTCATCGGTCGTCATTCAAAAGCAATGCAACTATGTTCTGTCAATCTAATTGACTTTTATTGGTCTTGTGAATTTTAGCTAAAACGGCCTCTTTTCTGATTTTTATCTCTCAATCTATGAAATAAACACGAAAACTATGTTGGAATGAAACTTCTAGAACAATATGAGGAACATTATACCGTACACTACACATTTTTATATCATATGGGTGGAAAATTCGTAGAACAAATACTTTAAAATTCTTCACTGTTTAAGATATCTTCGAGCATGAAACTAAGTCAAACTTCAATAAAATCACTTCGAATAGTCAACCTTTGGTTACAAAGTTGATACATAACACATTAAACTTTGCTATGAAAGTTGTTACAGCAGTTTTCGTTGTTTCAGTCTCGAGATACAAATATTGTAAGCCGTAAATTACCTTAAAAACATAAAATTAACTTGAAGCACCTCTAAATCATCACCGATTTTGCTGAAAATTTGCACAGAAGTTCAAATTAACATGACGAATAGTAATCACGGTTGACCCGTTACATTCCGAACATTTCGTTTAAAATGAACAGGTCTAATACATAACATATCTGATACTATAATCAGAATTGCTCAGTCTGCATGAAGCAGCCGATTTCATCAAGGAAGTTCTATTAACAACCAAGAATTAATCGTTTGAGGCATACTGAAGCATTATGAAGGTGATATGTATCACTATGGAAAATCATCATCGTTGCAAATATAAAGAGATTAAACATAACCCTTTGCTTCAGTACTTTTTTTTTAACCTTTATTAGGGAGATTTTAGCTTCAGTACCGTCAATCTCCATGTCCATGGGGAGGGACTAATTTCGCTCATTCTATACTTATATTATAATTATACCGTACGACCAAGTCTGCAGACTTGGTCTGATCCAACTTAAAACATGTTGACAGTTCTCAAACTGATTGTTGCCCGATAAAAGCAGGTAGTGCTGACAGTTCTAGTACTGCACTGTCAATATTGTAAGCAAGTTGATTAGATTAAATGTTCCAACACAACGTAGGTTTAAATAGACAATGTAAGCACAGACAAACAGACGTAACTCTTTGAAAAAGTTTTTCTTGAAAACATAGTATCTCAAAAGATAGGACCTCAGTAGCGACATCTTTCAGGCTTCGCGCGGAAAACAAGCTTACTCTCTAACTCGCAAACAATATTGCATAAAAGTTCTATAGAATGTATAGAAACGTCAAAGTGATCCTGCGGCGAGTAGTTCGCGGAACAGATAATATTCAAATCAACCGTTAAATGCGTGAACGAAGATACACAATGAAGAGTTACGTCTGTTTGTCTGTGATGTAAGGGAATAAAAAGGAGTTAGTAAAGTTCCAACAGCCAAGAAATAAAGATCGTTTTTCCAATTAAATAAAGATTTGGTGATCTTGAGTGCCTACTCCGCCGATTTTGCCGTTCCGTTTTTTGGTGACTACAAGGATAGAAATCTCCTTATACCTTTGGGCAAATTTCTATTGCTGATTATTCATAAAATGTATAAGTCAACTAATAAGCAGACGCCTTGCAAAAAGTTAATGAAGCTCATGTGTCAAATGAAATGTATAAGCGGTCACACATACCTTTTATGCATTCTTGTAGGACCTATGTGGTTTGTCTTATGGAATGTATAAGGCAGATGCTTTGGCAAAAATGTATAAGTGAAACATGAATAAAATAACTTTTGTACGTATAAGCCATTTCTTTGCATTCTATACGACTTGTTTGTTTGTATACATGTTTGTATATCACGAAAACAACTTTGAATATACGTGCATTCTGGTAGAAGACGGAGTTGATTGAACAGGATTTGGAGTATAGGGTTGTGCAACAAGAGCAACAGATCCACTGGCTTGAGGACCAGGAGAGGGCTGTTGTATGAACTGTGCCCAATGGAGGACAGTGGTTGCACGGTTTGCTCTGACAGGACTTGGCAAAGTGATCTGTGCTACGGAGGCAATTGGAACATAGCTTCTTCAACTTCACAAACTCGAACCGTTACTGGTAATCGTAACAATGGTACAGGAAGTGATTCAATAGAACTATTGTCATCCTTAAATTTATATACACCATCTAGGCATTTACGAAATAGAAATATATTTGCTACAAATCGTCATCGTACGAATTATGCCAAATTTGGACCCTTGAACCAAATGATGGATACATATAATAAGCACTGCAATAACATTGACTTTACAATGACAAAAACCAAATTAAAGCAATATTTTAATTCGTCGCATAACGTCAACTAGAAGTAATGTTTTAACTTGTTCTTAAGACATATTATAAAAATATAAACAAAGACAAAATTGTAAAAATAGCACTTAAGACAACAATTGTAAAACGGTCTACACTGATTGACGACAAATAAATAAAAAAATAAAAAAAAAATAAAAAAAAAAAATAAAAATAAGATTCTAGTTGCATTTTTCACACCTCCTGGAAGATTCCGTAGCTTGGGAGGAGGATGAGGAGCTGAAATGCACTGCGGACTTCGTTGGTTTCACCTTTGGATTACAATCTCGACTGGAACCAGGGGACGGATTAACACTCTGCAGAACTCTGGCATAATTCTGAAGGTAGTTCACCATCGATACATATGTTGACATATCATCTTCTTCTGCTTCATTACATGCCACACCACCAATAACATTGGCAATATTATCAATATCCAACCGGGCACAATAGCCCAAACGGGTTGACAACTGGTAAATTAACAACGAATCCCAGGAATCAGTGTATTCTCCCAATCGCTTTAGTACAGATACCTGCTGTTCGAATCTATCCACCAAATTGAGTAGCTCATCAGCCGATTCCTTCTTCATACTGGGTACCTCGTACAACGCCTTAATATGACACCGAATAACCTGCCGTTTGTTTTCATAGCGCAACTTCAGTGCTCACCAGGCAGGCGAAATCTGTCATCGCTTATCGAAATGCTAATTTCAACACGATCTCCAATGGCAGAGTTAAAAGCATCGCAAAACACACACCAATCAGCAAGTTTTCCACTGAACCGAGGTAGATTTAATTCAGGAAACCGAATGAGACTGG